CTATATATCACATTTTTCACATCACTCTATCACCGTGTAGACTAATCTGATGTTTGTAAAGTCTATAAACACAATGATTGAACAAATATTACTATTTCTGTGTGCACGTTTTGTAATTAATAACATGGTTATCGTAGATTAGTTGGGCTAACCGTTAGCTGGTAGCCGTTAGCGATGTAGTAACTCAGTAAGTCAATAAACGGTCCATAAAAAAGATATGTTTTCCAGCGGATATCTTAGTTACAACATGATTGAGCTAGCAAAGCAGTTTTCTGTTGCTATGTGTGGTACTTATTCAGTTATGGGAAATCACGATGTCTAGAAAGCATCAGTGGCTGCAGCTGACAGGGACAGCTAACAGCAGGCTAACATCAGGACGTCATCTTTTAAAAGCCTCCCGTTGTCGGATACGACATGAAACTACTCCAGTTAGCTCAATCATGTTGTAACTAAGACATCCGCTGGAAAAAATATTTTTTTCATGTTGATGAGACGGTGTTTTGGGTGGAGTGGTCGCCATGGACGCGGAGCTTGCTGTTTCTGTAGGTACACATTTCCTGGGGACACCTGCACGTCTCGGCCCCGCCCCCTCCATTGTGATTGGCTAAAGCGCAGCATCGTTGAAACGCAAAGCCCCTATCCCCGTAGTTGTCTTTCATACAGGGCTGCCGACAGATTCTACAATGTAAATTGCAGAATCTGTCTTGAGAGATTAATACTAAAGTGCTAGTGTGCCCATACCACTGCACTGGAATGAGTGACAAGGATAAGAAAAACAAAAGTATGGAAAATATCTGTACTTTTAATACTACTCCCGATTTGTCTGTTTCCTACTGGGACACATTTTAACATCACACCAGAGCTGCACTTGAGCTGCACAGGTGCCCAAACAGTTAGCTCCAAGACACTCTGCTGTGATTTCAGTGTAAAAAAAAACCTGATCCTGAGTATAGAAGATTTTTCAGACTATTGTCACAGTTTCTGTGGATTAATAATTGGATTTAAATTGTGCTGTATGTGTCTGCTGTTTGAAGTGTGCATGAACAGAGACAGGATTGCCTTGAACCTTGAACCCTTGAGCCAGCTTTGGATCTAGTTCAGGCAGGCGGTTAGCAAACAGTGACACACAGTGCCCAAAAAACACCACACACATGCCGAGGAGGAATATTAATCAACTGTAAAGTCATAATAGATATTTAATGATGTGCATTATCGCCTTTATACACGCAGGCAGAGACAAGAGGAGCGCAGCAATTCATCAACAGCACAGACATGGGAATCCAGCTCAAGGTGCGTGGAATAACGGGAGAGGAGAAGACCATCGACCTGTGTGACACCGAGGAGCAACTTAAGAGCATCACAGTGCTGCAGCTGAAGGAGAAGATAATAGAGGAATTTGGTGACCAGTGCCAACCATCAGGTAACATCACTTTGAGTTATACGTGACCTACATCTGTTTATGATTGAAACAGCCACTTCGTTTATTATAATTATTATTATTATTATTGTTGTTGTTGTTGTTGTTGTTGTCTGTTAAACCAAAGTTCTGTGCAAGTCGGTGTTGCGTGGGGTCGTGTAGTAACCCACGACTGCAGATCCAAGAAGAGCAAATTAAAAATCACATTTTTTAATAACCTTTGTTGATTTCTTTTGAAAAGTGTTGTCAGTACCTGTTGACTCTCTCTCACACTCTGTATGTGCTCCTGTATCCTCTGTGTTTCTAGATCTCCGCCTATTCTGCGATGGCAGGGAACTGGAAGAACCTGCTTTGCTGTCACAGTGTGGAATCAGACACATGTCAACAATTCTAGTGGTTCAAAGAGTAGGCCTACCTGGGGGAGGCCCACTTCCGGTGAGAGGAGATTTATTTCGGGTGATATCAGCTGAATTGAGCCATCAGGTAAAATGAGCCATTGACGGTTTGAGCCTCCTAGCTTTCTAAATTCCAACAGACAATGGCTGCACATTATTTCAAATTGTTGTTACAACTGGACTTTACAAAAAAACAATTGAATTGATTGGTCTATGGTTGCTGTGGTGGGTGGGGCAATGCTTCACATCCAGCCTGCTGAGGAGAACTGTGAGGTGAGTGAGTGGCCTGGCAGAAAACAAATTCCTGAAAATGATAAGGTTGATAAATCTGTAAAAAGCAGCCATACTTCTAGATGAGTGGCTCCTTTTAGCTGATCAGGTGGCCCATTTTACCAGAACACTGCTCACCTCAAAAACGTGGGACAGCTGATGTTTCAAAAGCTATAGGACCTGAACAACTATATTCTATTATATCAATTCAACAATAAAATAAAAGTAAATAAAAGTGATTTGCCAAAAAGTGGCTCAATTTAGCTGATGTCACCTATTTCGAAATAGGGACAATGCATATTAATGAACACATACATGAGTATATGCAAATACACCAGATTGTAGCCCAGGGCTAATTTCCATCTGTTATCCCTATAGACAGGTTGATGTAAAAATGTGTTGAAAAGGAGCGACAAAAGACAGAGTTAAAATTCATGGCAACCACGTAGACACAATACAGAAGACATGAAAGGTGCACAATAAACATTTGAAAAAAAGCCCATGACAACACACAGAAGTGACCAGGCATATATGGTAATATTGCACATAAACCCTGTTGCACATGAGCCCAGGTCAATTCATCAACAATGTCAAAAGCGTATACAGTACAAGATAAGTCCAAAACACTGAGTGCAGTAAAATACAGTGCAAAAAGGAGTTTGAGTGGGGGACTGTAAGTAATGTGGAGATGAAGATGAGACTGCAGCAGTGCAAAGTCCTGTTCATGATTCTTGTTATGCTGTATAGAAAGAATGGATGTGAGTGAACATTAATAGCTCTTGGTGTAAAAAAAAATGAGTCACGTTAAAGTTCCATTAAATCAGGGAGGAGGAGTCTGTCCACGCAATGTTGCAGAGGCGTGTCAGCCAGGACAGCCCTACAACATCCAGAGCCTTGAGATATCCAGGACGAATCTCATCCACCCCCGGGGCTCCGCTGCCTCGGAGTTGTTTCACTACCTCGGCAACTTCTGCCCCAGAAATTGGACGACTTGCCCCCGATACCCCCGTCTCTGTTTCCTCACTGGAATACGTGCTGGTGGGATTGAGGAGCTCCTCAAAGTATTCCTTCCACCGCCCGACAATGTCCTCAGTTGAAGTCAGCAGCTCCCCGCCCCCACTGTAAACAGTGTGAGCAAGTTGCCGCCTTCCCCCCTGAGGCGCCGGACGGTTTGCCAGAACCTCTTTGGAGCCGATCGATAGTCTTCCTCCATGGCTTCACCGAACTCCTACCACGCCCGAGTTTTTGCCTCCGCGACTGTCTCCGCTGCGCTCCGTTTGGCCCGCCGGTACCCATCAGCTGCTTCCGGAGACCCACAGGCCAACCATGCCCTGTAGGCCTCCTTCTTCAGCAAGACGGCTCCCCTCACCTCTGGTGTCCACCAGCGGGTTCGGGGATTACCGCTGCGACTGGCCCCAGCAGCCTTGCGGCCACAGCTCGCAGCCACCGCCTCGACAATGGCAGAGCGGAACAAGGCCCATTCGGACTCAATGTCCCCCTCTGCCCTCGGGACGCGGTCGAAGCTCTCCCGGAGGTGGGAATTGAAGATCATCTGGACAGGTTCTTCCACCAAGCGTTCCCAGCAGACCGTCACTGTTCGTTTGGGCCTGCCAGGTCTGCGCAGCGTCTTCCCCCGCCATCTGATCCAACTCACCACCAGGTGGTGATCAGTTGACAGCTCTGCTCCTCTCTTCACCCGAGTGTCCAGAACATATGGCCGCAGGCCAAATGATACGACTACAAAGTCAATCATTGACCTGCAACCTAGGCTGTCCTGGTGCCACGTGCACCAATGGACATCCTTATGTTTGAACATGGTGTTAGTTATGGTCAAACTGCGACCCGCACAGAAGTCCAATAACTGAACACCACTCAGGTTCAGATCGGGCAGGCCTTTCCTCCCAGTCACGCCCCTCCAGGTCTCGCTGTCATTGCCCATGTGAGCGTTGAAGTCCCCCAGCAGAACAATGGAGTCCCCGGTTGGGGCACTGTCAAGCACCCGTCCCAGGGACTCCAAAAAGGGTGGGTACTCTGAACTGTTGTTCGGCGCATAAGCGCAGACAACACTCAGGACCCGTTCCCCAACCCGAAGGCGCAGGGAAGCAACCCTTTCGTCTACCGGAGTAAACCCCAACGTACAGGCAGAGAGTCTGGGGGCTATCAGAAAGCCCACCCCGGCCCTCCACCTCTCACCCGGTGCAACTCCAGCGAAGGAGAGAGTCCAACCCCTCTCAAGGACTTGGGTTCCAGAGCCGGAACTATGTGTCGAGGTGAGGCCGACTATATCTAGCCGATAGCGCTCAACCTCTTTCACAAGCTCCAGCTCCTTCCCCGCCAGAGAGGTGACATTCCATGTCCCAAGAGCCAACTTCTGTAGCCGAGGATCGGACCGCCAAGGCCCCCGCCTTGGTCTGCTGCCCAATCCACATAGCACCGAACCCTTCTGGATCCCTCTGCGGGTGGTCAGCAGGGGGACGAGCCCATGTAGCCGGTTCGGGCTGGGCCCGGCCGGACCCCATGGGCGAAAACACGGCCACCAGGCGCTCGCCCACAGGCCCCAACCCTAGGCCTGGTTCCAGGGCGGGGCCCTGGTAATACTCCGGGCCGGGTACACAGATCCTTGCTTTTGTCCATCATGAAGGGTCTTTTGAACTGTTCTTCGTCTGACCCTTCGCCCAGAACCAATCTGCCATGGGAAACCCTACCAGGGGCAAAATGCCCCCGACAGCATAGCTCCTAGGGTCATTAGGGCACTCAAACTCCTCCACCACGATAAGGTGGCGGTTCTCGGAGGAGCTGATCCTGAGTATAGAAGATTTTTCAGACTATTGTCACAGTTACTGTGGATTAATAATTGGATTTAAATTGTGCTGTATGTGTCTGCTGTTTGAAGTGTGTATGAACAGAGAGAGGATCGCCTTGAACCTTGAACCCTTGAACCCTTGAGCCAGCTTTGGATCTAGTTCAGGCAGGCGGTTAGCAAACAGTGACACACAGTGCCCAAAAAACACCACATAGGTGCAGAGGAGCAATATTAATCAACTGTAAAGTCATAATAGATATTTAATGACGTGCATTATCGCCTTTATACACGCAGGTAGACATGACAGAAGTGCAGCAATTCATCAACAGCAGCACAGACATGGGAATCTGGCTTAATGTACATGGAATAGACAGAAAGATGAAGACCATCCACCTGTGTGACACAGAGGAACAGCTTAGGGGCATCACAGTGCTGCAGCTGAAGGAGAAGATAAAAGAGGAATTTGATTACCAGGGCCATCTATCAGGTAACATCACTTTGGGTTATATGTGACTTACATCTGTTGACGATTGAAACAGCCACTTTGTTTATTATTATTATTATTATTATCATTATTATTGTTGTTGTTGTTGTTGTTGTTTTTGTCTGTTAAACCAAAGTTGCGTGCAAGCCGGTTTTGCGTGGGGTCGTGTAGTAACCCACGACTGCAGGTCCAAGAAGAGCAAATTAAAAATCACATTTTTTTAATAACCTTTGTTGATTTCTTTTGAAAAGTGTTGTCAGTGACTGTTGACTCTCTCTCACACTCTGTATGTGCTCCTGTATCCTGTGTGTTTCCAGATATCCGCCTAATCTACTGTGGCAGGGAACCGGAAGAACCTGCTCTGCTGTCACAGTGTGGAATCAGACACACATCAACAATTGATGTGGTTCAAAGACTACGGGGTGGGGGAAGGTTCCTGCCTCCGGTGAGAGGAGATGGTGGAATGGGTGACAAGGATGGAAAAAACCGAAGTATGGAAACTATCACTTTTTTTTAATACTACTGTGGGCATATCTGTTTCCTACTGGGACACATTTTAACGTCACACCAGAGCTGCACTTGAGCTGCACAGGTGCCCAAACAGTTAGCTCAAAGACACTCTGCTGTGATTTCAGTGTAAAAAAAACCTGTTCCTGAGTATAGAAGATTTTTCAGACCACTGCTCCAGTTACTGTGGATTAATAATTGTATTTAAATAGTATTGTTATAAGTGTTGGAGAGTAACTAGATCCATGTAGCCTAACTTGTCACATGTAATTAAAATACAAAATAAAAGTAGTCTGTTACAGTTACTGAGAAATAAATGTGACTGAATTATATCTATTAATCAAAATGTTAGTGATTACAAAGGAGTCACTTCTATGCTTTGCATCTTTACTCTGTGCAGGAATGTCTTCTTTTGGCATATTTACGGACAACGCAGGGCAGCAAAGGTGTCGGGACAAATTTGAGTGTAACACCAACAAGTGTATTTTTAAAAGACACAATGCACAATGCATGACACGCTGGCCCTGAACATCCAAAGTTGATGCAGATCGGCACCTAGCACGTCATATTTTGATAGAAGCAGTGATATTTGACAAGTTGGGATGAGAACGCATTGGTTCGAATGGTTTCCATGTGTATTATATCTTTTTGGTTTTGTCTTATCCTCTTCATGTTTGGTCTTAAATGCAGGTGAGATTCAGCTCTTTCCAAATACACAACACTAAAATATGCATCAATCTCCCACCAGATCAAGTAAAAGGCCCTGAGAAGGAACAGTAATTGGGTTAGAGGGTACAAATATTTACAATACACAAACTGGCTCAGTGCTATGTGGAATAGCAACACATTACAATGAGTAGGGCCCCAAACCAGCTCCAGGTTGTCCCCTCAGGATTCCAGTCAGACAAACTAAAAGTACGGACCTGAGTAACTTATCAGTATTTGGATGTTAGAGAATCAGAATATTTTTTTAATAGTTGTTTGGGGATGATCTGAGTTGAACCATGTTTTATGACTTATTTTTGTTTGTCTTTTACTGTTTTATTAACTGATGTGTGACCAACTGTCATGGCAGCAAACTTTTAACCAGCACACTAAAATCATATGTAGTGACCCATTTAACAACAGATTGTTAATAAATACTTTGCGGCCATTGAACAAAGCTGGGTAAAAACTCTAAAATGTGTCTCCTAACTCTAAAAGCGTTTTTAAAGATACTTGTGATGTGTCATTGTGTGTATAGGTTAAAGGAGCTCTTGTTTTAGTCATAAAATGTAAAGAAATGTTGACAAATGTTTCATTTTTGTTGATTTTGTTCTGTCTCTGTTGCATATTAAAGCTCTTGCCCAGTAATAAGACCTGCTGTCAGTCATCTTTGCTCAGTGTAATTTTTGGATTGACCTCTAGATGGTGTTACACCTCCATTATACATCAACACAAGTATCATCACGCAGGCATTACACTTACATACCTAAAGGGGCAAAAACTGACCAATATTCAACTATGCTACTTCATGTAAACTATATATTTAATATTTTATACTGCATGTGGATAAATGTTAATATTTAGCTGTTATTTAATTCTGTCCAACATACAGGAAATGTATTCACATATATGCACCTCTTGTCTCCAGGCACTCATGAACTTCAGACACATATCAATTCAATTATATTTTCAATTCAGTTGTATTTATAAAGCCCAATATCACAAATCACAATTTGCCTCACAGGGCTTTACAGCATACGACATCCCTCTGTCCTTAGGACCCTCACAGTGGATAAGGAAAAACTCCTCAAAAAACCCCTTTAACGGGGAAAAAATGGTAGAAACCTCAGGAAGAGCAACTGAGGAGGGATCCCTCTTCCAGGACGGACAGACGAGCAATAGATGACGTACAGAACAGATCAACATGATAATTAACAGTGATCCGTATGACACAATGAGACAGAAAGAGAGACAGAGACAGAGAGAGAGAGATGTAGGACAGACGGTAATGACAGTAGCTTACAACAACATTAATTAAAGTAATAATATTATAATTATGGTTGTTAGTATATGTATGTGACAGTATGACTCATTATAATAGCAGTAGCAGGAGGCATCAGGCAGGACCACGGCAGCAGCACAACCACACACGTCACACCACCCAGGCACCGCTGCGATACGAGGTAACCTGCAAGACAGTGGAGCATAAACGTGCCTGAGTTGAGCTGAGTTAGCTAGATGCAGTAATAAGACGTGAATTTTATCAAATGAGGAAGAACCAATTTTTCGCAAACTTAGGAGAGACAGACTAGACCTATGTCAGCCTAACTAGAGGCTGGTCCAAGGAAAGCCTGAGCCAGCCCTAACTATAAGAGCCAGCCCTAAGTATAAGCTTTATCAAACACATTCAATCAAACTTAGGAGAAAAGGTGCTCGGTGTATTAAAGAAGGTCCCCCGACAGACTAGACCTATGTCAGCCTAACTAGAGGCTGGTCCAGGGCAAGCCTGAGCCAGCCCTAACTATAAGAGCCAGCCCTAAGTATAAGCTTTATCAAACACATTCAATCAAACTTAGGAGAAAAGGTGCTTGGTGTATTAAAGGAGGTCCCCTGGCAGACTAGGCTTATGTCAGCCTAACTAGAGGCTGGTCAAAGGCAAGCCTGAGCCAGCCCTAACTATAAGAGCCAGCCCTAAGTATAAGCTTTGTACTTGAATGTTCTGCAGTAGCCTAAGAAACACAAATATAGACACACAGACGAACATCACAAAATTGGCTGTGACGGTCATCGCGCATGTCGACAGTGGGAAGAGTGTAGAGATCGACCTGCATGACACTGAGGAGCAGTTAAGGAGCATCAGAGTGCTGCAGCTAGAGGAGAAGATACTGGAGAGAAGAGATGACCTTGGATTAACAGGTAGACCTTTTTGACTGTACAGGGGACCTTTGCCTACATGACAACTGAAATACCAACTTGACAAGTTCAGGTTGTAGGTCTGATGCCTATATCAAACAGTTTACATTAACATTAAGTTGCTAAAGTCAAATCCTGTGCGAGTCAGCAAGTTTTGCCATTAGGGACTGTTAGTTATTTATGAGAGGGGAGGGAGGGGGTGGTGTAAAACAGGGGAGACACTTCAAATAAGCGCCCCCTTTTCGTTGACGCCCGGCGTCACTAACAGCGGACACAAGAGGATACCTAGTGTGTAATATGTAGACGTGAAATTCCACTGACAAAGCGGCAATATGTGACGACCTGGGATGAGAACGTGTTGGAAAAAACCTAAAGTCACACCTCTGCTAAATGATAAAGAACATTCCCTCAGACAGTTGCCAATACATGTAGTAGGCCTAGGCTACAACTGCAGGTCTAAGAAGAGCAAATTAATGTTGCTTTTTAAGAATTGTAAATGATATATTTGGGATTTATTTTGGAGAAATGTTGTCAGTGCCTGGTTTACATTACGTGTGTGTGTGTGCATGTGTGTGTGTGTGTGTGTAGCTCACTCCTGCATTATTGTCTTCTTCAACGGCAGATTCCTGGATGGAAACGCTCTGCTGTCAGACTGTGGAGTCCAACACGTCAGGAATTCTAGAAACCGAGTCTAAAAATCAAAGTTGGTGGAAAGGGTGACAAGGAGGGCAAAAACCGAAGTATGGAAAACATCACGTTCATGCAACCCTACTCTGGATATATCCATTTCCTACTGACACTCATTTGAATAGCAAACCAGAGCTGCACTTTTCAGCAGCACAGGTGTCATAGTGGTTAGTTTAAAGGAGAAGTCCAGGATTTTGCAGTTTGAGCCCCATTTCTGGGTTGTTTATGATGAAATGGAGTGGTTAAAAACCAACATTTTGACGATTGCTCCTTTTCTGAGAATTTGGCTTTCCGCTGCCTGGCTTAACACTGCTGTCTATGGCCATGTGTGAACCTGTCCTAAAACCACCCTAAACGTTCGTTTTCAAAGCCATGAAACTCACCGAGTGGTCAGTGGTGTTCGTTGATTTTGTGACATTTTTTGGACATTTCTCCCTGGCTTATTTTAAATAATTTTCTAAATACTGTAAAGGCGGCGCACTAGACGGACGTATTTCTCTCCTCTCCGCTACACTTAAGTAAATCCTGTTATAGCCCTTATTTGTTGCGGCTGTAAAGCTGCTACATCATCTCTACAACACTCTTTTTTCGTCTGCACCGGGAAAAAATAGCAGACATCGTGCAAAAAGTCAGCAAACAAGGATATCAGACTACAGCTCAGCTGAGATTAGCTGCGAAGCTAGCACTAAAGCTAACGACATGCCGGACGAGGCTGCTTCAAGCAGCGGAGAACTGTTTGATTCTCAATGCTATCAAAGACTTGAAAACAGATTTCTCAAACAGATTTGAGAGAGTGTACAGAGCCGATGCAAACACGGACGTCTTTATTTCCAACACTGAATATGATGTCGTTAGCCTCCATGCTAAAGTTCGGTCACTCGAGGATAAGAAAAAGGAGCTCCAAGACAAATTATAGACCTTGAAGCACGGTCCAGACACTCAAACCTGAGGCTGGTTTATCTACCAGAGAAGGCGGAGGGGGACTACGCCTGCTCATTTCTCGAAAAGTGGATACCGAAGGCACTGCGGCTCAGAGCACCTGGTGGGTTTACACTGGAGAGATCTCACCGTGTTGGCCAGAGATGAGAGCCTGGCGCTCCCGCGCGAACAATGATAATGAAGTTTCTGAATGACAGGGACAAGGTGGCTGTCTTAAGAGCAGCCTTGTAATGACTTGTGAAAGGCATCTGAACGCAGCACAAGACAAAGGAAATTGATCAGCACTTCTCCAGAGGTACAACTTGTCATCAGCATCATTGTTCAGTGTTATATTTGAGATTAACCTCTAGATGACGCCTAAGCCCGTCTTTAGATCAATACAGGTATTACACTTTCATGCCCACATGGGCAAAAACTGTCCAATATACAGCTATGGTTCATGACTGTATATTAAATATGTTTTTGATATTTTGAAATTTACATTGCATGTGGGTGAATGTTATTAGTTTTGCTGTTGTCTAACCCTGTACAGCATGTAAGAGATGTATTCACATGCATGTTAGACATCAAACCATTCTGCGTTCGTGTAAAGGGAAACTTTATTACGTGATGCAGTTGACAATGATGAACTGTTATTGAGAGATCAATTCTAAGACAGCAACTTTCAGAGGCAACATCAGAAACAGTGCAGTATACGAGAAAATGCAGCACATATTTTTACTACGTCTATACGTCTATACGGCTACACTTTTGGCTTCAGTTGCAAAGAGAATATTGTAATCAAACGATGAAATCCAACAAGAAACGTACAGCATAGCGTGACAGAGGAAGGCAGCAAGCTACATCACAAGAACGTAATGTGTGCAAATTCTCTCTTAGTTTCTGTGCCAAACAGGTATGGAGGTTTGTATGGGAGCCACACCATCACTGCAGGCGATGAAGTAAGAGCTCGTCTTCAGGCACTCAGGAGTGAGCTTCAGGCACACAAAGCAGAACTCAATCTGACAGCGAGGACAGATGATGTTCTTACAGCCCGTTGTGTCATGCGCCACCTTCAAGCCACAGGTGGGACAGGCCCTGAGTGAGGGACAGGCGTCGACCCCTTTCACCTTAGGGAGGTTGGTGGTGCCACAGTTCTTGAGGGCCTCGAGGTCGAGGTTGATGCAGCCGTCGTTGTCGCAGCGGTCAGAGCGTGGAGCCGCACCTTTCCACAGCTTCAGACACTGCCAGCAGAACTCGTAAGCTTTCTTGTTGTCTTCTGTGCAGACTGTGCAACGCACGCTGAGGTTACTCGGGTTTTTTCTCTTCATATAGGTTTTGCACCCAGGACACTGTTGGAAAGGGAGCGAGAAACTTTTAGACAAAGGTTTGTTACAATCTTCTCATCTAACTGTGCAAGACAGCGAATAAGCGTTTCCCCTAAATTCTTCCTTCAACTCCTGTAAGTTATTTGTGTTATCTGCTTATTGCTGGATGTTGCAAAGAGAAACTATCTCTGCTGAATGTTTTTTGAACACCAGGGCACTCACTTCTTTAAAATCACAGTATTCTGTGGCAGCCCGAAGCGCCATTTTCTCTTCAAAGTACTGCCTCTCTTCAGCTGTCAGCACTGCCAGCCTGCGCACTTCTTGATAAGACCACTCTTTATCACACTTCTGCAGGGTGCCGTCCTTTAAAGCAGGGCACTTAAATTTGTTCTGGCCCTGAAATTAAAAGGAGAGGTTGTGTTATATTGCCAGTTGAATATGTGGTGAAAACTATCTGGGGAGCTGAGCATCATTTGTATGAAAACTCTGGCCAGTCGCCAGAATAAAATGTTGGCATTGTATGTTTCTGCAAACCAGAGACATGTAACATCTGTACATTTCCTACATATGACGTAGTTTCTTAGTTTCTAGCAGCAAAATCGGGTGTTTCTTAACATGAGTTCAGGACGTGTCTTGCCATATTTGTAGTGACAAAAGCAGGTGTTTTTAATGAGAGGTTGGGCCTGTGCAGCTGTATTTCTAGCAACAAAATCGGGTGTTTCTTAACAAGTGTTCAGGACGTGTTCAGCTGAATTTCTAGTGACAAAAACAGATGTTGTTTAATAAGAGCTCAGGACGTGTCCACCCATATTTGTAGTGACAAAAGCAGGTGTTTTTTAAACAGAGTTTGGGACGTGTCCAGCTAGGCTTTTAGCAACAGGAGGACGAGGGGATGGTGAATGATATGACGCCATGACGAGATGCCTGCCAAGTACCAAACAGTAGCTGACCACTGTTTGAGACCAATAAAAGCTGGTGTATCTAAGTGAGTTTTTGTAGTGACAAAAGCAGGTGTTTTTAGTGAGAGTTCAGGACATTTTCAACCCTTTTTGTACCGACAAAAGCAGGTTATTTTAACGAGATGTCCGGACATTTCCAGCCGTGTTTGTAATGACAAAAGTGGGTGTTTCTTAATGAGAGTTCGGGATATGTCCATCCATTGGGGGTTTGCAGAAACATACAATGCCAACATTTAATCTGGTGATTGGATTGTGTTAACCTAAGAAAGGTGTTATTCATAATAATAAATTGATTTACGTTAACAATAAGTAACAAATTTAGGTTTGGATCCAGCCTGGACTGTAAGCCTCAGAACATAACACTGTGGAAATATCCCATTTCCACCTCTTAATTGGCAAAAATGAAACAACCTAAATAAACTTTAACGTGAAAATAAAGCAGCTAGGAAAAGTGTTAATCTGAAGGAAATATGTGACAAAATAAAACATAAATAAGACAATAAAAAGAAGGGCTCAATGTTTACTGGTGGTGAAATGCAGTGTCGGAAACAGCTGGAAAGTAATTCTTGGGATACAGGTTGGAAATTAACTTATCTAACATGGAGGCTCACACGCTGTCAGTAAACATGGTGGAAAGTACCTGATCCAGCAGGCTGCGACACCACCCAGTGAGAGACTCTGGAGTGACGGCGTGACCACAGGACATCTCTGCTCGGAGACATTTGTCTCCCTCCTCTGACGCTGAGATGCAACAAGAAGAGCAGACATTGAACTCACCATCACAGAATTTAAGTCTCACATATTACTCTCTTACATACTGTACGTTTGTGCTTACACAGTGGATCCAGATCATCCGGTCTGTTGACAAACTTCAGAGTCGTGTCTTTGGGGTCGTATCTTTTCTCCTCTTGACCCTGTGTACTCATCGTGCTTCGGATCAGCTCCTCTGTCCTCCGTCGACAAACTTCTCTTCCTCTCTGCACTCAGGAAATGAGAAACTCAGAGGCTGGCTGCTGCGCCACCTTCACTGACTCCACCAAGATTTGTTTTTGCTTTATTACTTTCACGTTTCCTCCTCTCTGGCTTTTAGAAGAAGTCACGTTCATGTAGTTCTGCAGAAAAGGACTCCCAGACTAATATTCACATTCAGTTTTATTGACAAAGAATAGAATTTATTTAGGATTTATTTAATTCCAGCATACTCAAGGGCAGCTTTGATTCATGTCTTTATTTGTAGAAATTGTTTTTGTTACTGCATTGTTTTGAATTTGAACATAAACTCCCAAAAAAATCAAGTGTTCCATATTAGTTTGAATAAGATTAATACACTGTTTCACAGCAGTTTCTTATATGCCAACCACCTGTTTCACAAGATTCTTTGGTCTGATGACAAACACTGCTGGAGTGTCAGGTGATTTCTAGTAATCATCTCAGCACCGCTTGCAGTTTTAGGGTTCTGTGTGGAAATGCTGCTCGGACATCATGATGCAGACTATAGTGGACAAACTCCACAGTGACCAAAATGTGGAAGTGGTGAGGCTTTTTGAATTTATGGAGGACTGACTGTTGTTGTCACACTTTTTACTCATGTATGACTTGCTCATCGTCACAAAAAATCTTTCAACAGTAATTTCTACATTAAATGAAAGCTTAAGGTCTTGGCTTGAAATGGATGTCCTTTTCATTTTTAGAACTTATTGCAACAAGAAGCAATTAACCGTCAAAGACACTCTGACACAATGTGACAACCAACCCCATCACGGGGTCGGTTGTCCCTATAGAAGTTCAATAGGGTTTCAGTGATAAATTAGGATCTTAAAAGAAGATGTGTAACTTTTTCGTTTTTTAAGCTAGAAACACCAAATAACTTTTGAAATGAATACCACCTCTATAATAGTTGTCATCAATGCCCCTTATGTTTAAACAACGAGATTGAAGCAGGTGATGAGTTATTTGAATTATCTTCTGTGATGAGAAGTAAAATGAAAGAATTTGCAGTGCTAAAAAGTCTCTTTATTAAAGCCACTATGTTTAAACAAATCATTATGAATAAGTTGCCTAACTTGGACAACAACACATGTGACAACCAACCCCCAGAGCAGTGAGACAACCATCCCCAACAGACCTCTTGACAAACATGTTAAGCTAGCTACCACATGGCTTTAGCTTGCTAGCTTCAAAAGAAAGCTATTACTTTTGACTTTTTGATAAGTGTTTGATTTTTAAATGACTAATAACCTACAAGCTGTTAATACAAAAACGACACCAACATGAAAAATTACTCTGACCCTTAAAAATGATGAAATGTCTCCTCACCTCAATGTTTTGTGTGTGATCCACAAAATGGCTGGTGCAAAATGAGCAGGATGTCAGGCCTAAAGTTTGATATCAACATCATGTCACAGCGCCCTCTAGTGTGGCTGTAATAAGCACTGTGACAACCAACCCGTGGGACAACCAACTCCTTTCTCCCCTAAAGGAAATGATAGGTTCAGAAATCATGTGCACAACACTTGCGCACCTGCACAACAACACTTAAAGCAATGACATAGAATGAATACTGTAAATAATGATAATGGTGATATCAACTTTGGGGCGAAAGTGAAAGTAGGCCTATCTATTCAGTTGAAACAACACCCTAAAGTGTCATTACACTTCTCAGCGGCAGAGCCGACAGCTGTGCAGCAACTTCTAAACGCCAAAACAGCGCAGAAATNTTCAGTTGAAACAACACCCTAAAGTGTCATTACACTTCTCAGCGGCAGAGCCGACAGCTGTGCAGCAACTTCTAAACGCCAAAACAGCGCAGAAATGGGAAAAATCTACCAGGTCGTGGTGCATGGATTCAGAGGGGAGAAGGTGACCATTGACCTGTGCAACACGGAGGAGCAGATGAAGAGCATCACGGTGCTGCAGCTTAAAGACAAGATATCAGAGAAGATTCCCACGAACAAAGGTAAGCCATAATTATACATTAAATGCTGTGCAGCCGATGATGGAGCTTGTTTTTGTTTTCACTTAAACGATTTAAAACTTCAACCTATATCCATTACTGTTTCATGTCCACATGTAAGCCAACAGTCAGTGCCAGACCAGAACATTTAGCGCCCTAGGCAAGCTTCCCCCTGACCTTCACTCACCTGGGAGGCTGTTGTTCGCTTATATGAATGTAAAGCCAACCCGTAATGTTTGTTCCTCTAAACCTAACCACGCGGTTGTCTTGCACATCAAACAGCAAAGCACGCCTGGCGTAAAACCACACCGTCTCCCTCCACCTCTGTGGCTGATTGCGGGTCAGCAGCTGCCCGTGCCGAGCAGAGACAGACGCCGGACTGCTTTCCCACTTCCACGTGTCTCCATAAACCAATACTCATTTGGAAATATTGTTTGCATCTCCCACACCGCGGCTTTGAAAATTAATGTAAGCAAATCTGACATGCACTTTGATGCCGCGTGAACATGCCGTGCGCAAAGAGCGCAGAGGAGCGCGCAGCGGCTGCACTGCACGCCTCTGTTCTGCGGGATTATTAGAGGAGTTGGCATGTGCATGTGTATGGGGTGCCGTTTGTAAAGTGTCTCACGCTGAAAATAACATCAACATTTTGCCACATTTAGCTTCAAACAATGTTTAAAAAAGTATTGTGAATTTTTTAACGTCACCTTTTACCACATTTACAGCAATATTTGTTAACTTAGAAATATATTAAATAGTTAAATCTAAATATTAAATGTGGCACCTAAATGTTAAA